TCTGTCTGTTGAGAGTTAAATCACCCTATCTGTTAAAACTTTTCATTTCACTTTTTATTTTGAAATTATATTTGGAAATTAACTTTAATATTTCGCGGATATAATTTGAGGGGCAATTGTTAGCGACAGGATCCCAGAATCATATTCAGGATCCTTAATATTTCTAAATCCTCAGGATCCTTAAACATATCATAGGATCTTGATTATTATAATTAATATTTCCTAACACTTTTAACGACTATATTCTTCTTTCTTTTTCTCACTTGTGCAGAATTAGTCAACATAAGACTCATTCTCAATGGAGAAACCACTTCAAGTAAGCTTAAGCCCCGGAATTACTGAGTCAAATAACGTGCAAATACTTGTTCAAGGAGGATCCTGGAAATATCGGACTTCTTGTTATTTAGCTTAGACGATAATAGCACTTGTAAATCGCACACTACACACATGAAATCTCTATTAATTCAAGTGTACTCGTATTATCTTCATTATCATTATAAACCTACTTTGAAATTAATAAACACAATAAGGAAGGTGATCATTATCACCTCCTACAGTTTTATGTCAGAGATCCTGGCAAGGATCAAGGGCTTTCCTTGTAAAATCGCTTGTATCATTTACACTTCATTAGTATATTCATTTTGATCACAACACCACAGCCTCTCATACAATTTTCTTGATTTATACTCAATTATTTTTCAACCAAAAATAGTATATTTAGTATATGTATGTGAATCTATATGTGTGAAACTATGTGTATTTGGTATAAGTTGTTGGGTTTTCTATACATCAAATACACTCTAAACTAGGTATCGGAAAAATAAAAACTACGATATACATAAGTGTACATGCAACCTGTGGATCTATGGTTTCATGCTAATTATATCTACCCTAGAAAAAATACAAAGAAGAAAAACATACCTCTTATGTATCCCTTGATCTCCATGCTTGAGATCTTGTCCTCCAGGAAGTTGCTTGGATAAGATGACCCAAACTAGAATCCCCCGAATGGTATCACACCCAATGACACCAAAGAGTGGAATAAAAATAACTAGGAGAAGGGTCAATTGCACAAACCCTAAGAGGGTTAGAAATCATCCCTAAGAAGAGGAGGAAGAAAGGTTGGCGAAACATCAAGACAAGGTGAAAGGAAGAATGAAATCCCTAAGACATCGACCAGAAACCTTTAGCCATCCAGTCGATTGCACAACTATCGCAGCTACCACCACAGTCACAACCATCCCAGGTAAAACTATACTATTTAATTTCAAAGTCTCATATAATGATCAACGAATGCATGTTGATTTGGTAATTTTGGTTTGTGGTGATTATTTGTTAAAAGCTTTGGTAATTGGTTTTTTGTCCTAAGTGCAGGAAATAATAATGTACTTTGATTTTTTTGTCCCAAGTGCAAAAAATAGCAATGTACTTTGGTACCAATAAATTGATGTTGGTTTGGTAATTGTGTTTGTAGTTATGTTTTTGTCCCAAGTGTAAGAAATAACAATGTAGTTTGGTATTTCTTGTATTTAAGTTTTTTTAGCACAAAATAAGTAGAAAGTAAGCTACCATTTCTTGTAAAACAAGATATTTAATTTCAAAGTCTCATATATCTATATAATGATCAATAAATGAATGTTGATTTGGTAATTATGTTTATGTTCAAGTGCAAGAAATAACAATGTACTTTGGTTTTCTATCCCCAGTTTAAAATAACAATGTAATCTGGTATCAATAAATGCATGTTGATTTAGTACAAGAAATAGCAATGTTATTTTGGTATTTCTTGTATTTATGTGAAAAAAATAGCAATGTACTTTGGTAGTTTTTGTTTATATTTAATAGTTTAACTTATAAGTTTATATATATATATATATATATATATATATATATATATATATATATATATATATATATATATATATATATATATATATTGTTATTAATTATTTAGTTGAAAAATCCCCATCCAATGCTCAATGACCCCGCATGTAGGCATGAATTTATGTGTTTTCGTCAACCGGGGAAACCACAAAGTGATGATCAATGAGGAAACAAGGGGAACGAAGATGATGGTTTGTTGGATAATTAATTTGTGTTTTGTACGTTAGGCTGTGTTTGGCGCGCCACAACTAGCGGATAAGCTAGCTTATTTTTCAAGCTTTTTTATATTATCATGTTTGGTAAGCCAAAAAGTAGCTTATAAGCTAGCTTTTTGAAAAGCTACTTAGACTAGCTTTTTAAGAGCTTTCTAAAAATTTTCAAATACACCCCTTAATTAGTTATAGAAACACATACTCTCACATGTCCTTTTATGTAATTTTATATATTTCACCTAGCTTTTCAGCTAGTTTTACAGCTATCAGCTAGCTTTTTAATTAACAGCTAGCTTTTCATCTATCAGCCAGCTTCTTAGCTAACAACTAGCTTTTCAGCTAGTACACCAAACATAGTCTTAGACTTGTTGTGACACTTTGGTACTTGTTGCAATTTTAACACTTTTTTTGTTTATTTTGGTATTTGTATATGGAATTATAACACTTTGGTATCTAATTCAATTACTTTATTTAATTATTTTCTGCATTTAATGGCGTTATGTATCCGTTTGTTTGCATGCGAAAAGTAATGACATATATATATATATATATATATATATATATATATATATATATATATATATATATATATATATATATATATATATATATATATATATGAGTAGGATCAAATGAGAACATAAAAAATGTTAAGAACGCGAGAACAAAGTATATTCATTTGAGATTCCATGTATTCATTTATGGAGAAATGATAAATTTTTACGCATTTAATTTCAATTGAAGAGAAAAAACATATTCATGTTGATTGTGCATAAAAATTTATCATTTTCCACAAATAAATATATGAAATCACAAATGAATATATCGTTCTCAACCACTTAGATGTTCTCATTTGATTATATATATATATATATATATATATATATATATATATATATATATATATATATATATATATATATATATATATATAGCGACATACACTATTACCAACGACATACGCATTACCGGTGATATAAAATATTATGGGCTACAGAGTCATTGACGATAAATATTTTTAACGGCAACATTTTAAGAAATAGTGACAGTACCAACGATGTTGCGACAAATCGAATTTTTACAGGAAACTTTTGTCACTGTTAATCACTCTTTTTCTTGTATTGTATGTGTATTAAGCACATACAAATCATTACAAAAAAAATATATTATTTATTTTAAGTTTGTACACGCCTATATCTATTGTATTCAACATAATTTTAAGTTATTATAAAATTTCACGAACACTCATGTATGTGTGTACTACATTGGTTTTAACCTAATGAGAAATTAAATATCCATCTATTATTTGTTTCTATTTTTCTCCTATCATATCAAATATTGATGTGTCACATTTAATTAGACATTTAATGAAATTAATAATCATTTAATCCACTTGTCAACATTTGATATGATAGATGAAAAAATAGCAATAAATGGTAGGAGAATATTCAATTTGTTTTCTAATTTTGGTTAAAATAGCAACAAATGGTAGGAGGATATTTCTAATTTTGGTTATATAGTTAGGTAGATCTTTTGTTTGAGGGACCCGGGTTGGGTTTGTGTGTGGCTCGGCGGAATGCACGGCTCTCACGATTTGCACATGCTACAAAGTCAGGAAATTCGTGAGCTTTTGGCTCTGAGAATTCGCACATGTACATCGTCGGAAATTCCATAATTTCGATAGTGACTTTTTGTTGAGTGGTAGGTGTGTTGTTTTGTAGAAATGGGACCTTTCCAATTGTGTTATGTCAATGTTACAATTTTTTCCCTTTTATTTGTATAAAGATATACATAATTTAAAATTTTTTATTTTATATATTCACTACATTTTAGGACTACACATGTTAAGAGATTTTTGGGTACACTTTGAAAATGCTAAAATTGGAGGACTCAACAAAAAATAAGGGTATTAGTGGTGACACAAATTGGTATTATATTTCTAGCTCTTTTATGAACATACATGATGATGATACATTTTGTTTTAGAGAGTTTTATTGGTGATTTATGTTTATTGATCTTGTAGGAAATCTACTTTGTTGTATAAAAAAAACGCACATTCATGTTTAGTTTATGTTGTTAGTTATATAGGTATATGTGACCACTAATTTGTTTAGTTACGTAAATTGTAACGAAAATTGTGTTGATTCAATACTATTATGATTAATGAACGAGATTGTTTAAGAATATCAATATCATGATAACATTCAATAAAGGCTAATACATTTATATCATTATATGTATATTTATTTATTCGTGGTTCAGTAGTAGATTGTTAAATAATTTTGAGACTGCTTCATAAATGTTTATATATTGTTATCATTTAAATTCAAAAATATTATAGTAAGAATATAATATTATTGATAGCTCGGTTTTATTAGGCACTTGCTTACCATTATGGGTTGAGTTTTTTTTTTTGTTTTTTTCAACATTCTATATATCCCTTCTATCTCATATTAGGGTATGTATTCATCTATATATAAATATGATGATGAGAAGATTAGATATGAAATACATTGATAAATTCATAGGTCTTTTGCTAAGGGGTTATAGAGAGTTATTAAAATGAACGAGAAATCAAACATTTTAATCAAATTCGAAATCACAATCAAAACAACTATATAATATCATATTGTTTATTTATTTTAATTTGATATAAGAATAAGATATAAAATTTAACCTCCATATTTTATGTTTTTGTTATTAATAAATAACTAACAATAAGAACATAACAAATTTAACCCCTTTTTTAGCGCAATATGGTAGTTTTGTGTTCATTTAATGGAATTGGAAATCCATTCACGATAACAACCTCATGGACCATTGGTGCAACTTTTATAAATCATAGGGATAAGTAATGTCAAAAATTCGAAAATTAGATTAAAAGTGCATATTGATGTAAACCATAGGGACCAAACTACAAATTAATCATATATAAATATCCCAACAAAGAAAAATAAAAACTCAACTTGATCAATCTTGCAGATTCAGTTAAACGATGGCTCATTCTTCATTTCCAGTTGAAATAAACGTGTTCTCTTGTGGAAAGTATCATCCAAAGCCTATAGAACTAAATAATGAAGTCACCCGAAAGCCTTTGACGATAGTTACACCACTAGAAGAAGGAGAATTCCCTGTACTGATTTTACTACATGGTTTTCTTCTCGATAGGGATTTTTATTCCCAGCTCAGTTGTCACATTGCTTCTCATGGTTTCATCATCGTCGTTCCTCAGGTTTATTCTTTTCTTATTTTGTACTTCATAATATCATAAATTAAATATTTTTTTATTTTTTGTTTTTATGAATCCTACAGTGAAATATCTAACATTTAACGTTTATTTAATGATATTTTAATATATTAATATGATACATGTTATTGTTTAATTGAGTATGAGGATTTGTTGGAATAAAAGTAAGAGGATAATTAATTTTTCTAATGTTAAATTTGTAATTAATATGATCATATGGTTTTTTTTTAATCTAATAACTTTATCAAGCTTTTTTATTTAAAAAAATACTCGACATTGTTAATACATTTTTTATTCATTGTAAATATTATTTTTATTTAATATTATTTAAAGCATTTTTTAGTTTTATAATTATTATATATGTCTAAAATTTACAGATTATATGTGAAGGCTTTATAAAATATATCACAAAGATAAAGATAAATTAATTAATTTCATAAAAGCACTTAAAAATGGTCAATAGAAATGATAATAATGTTTTGTTTGATAATTTTTTTTAAAAAAAAAAAAGATGAGTATAGTTTTATTGTTAATTACTATTTATTTGACACTTATCACCCCCTAATAATTATTTTTCCAAATCACATCAAAATTTCACCAAAAATATATTATGAAATATGTTTTATTAATTTTTTTTATGGGTGGAAAAATACAGTTTCCTAATTTGCAAAGGATCAATTATGAAGTTGGTGGTTATTTTATAATAATAGTAAAAATAATGGTTAATTTGTTGAATACGGTGGTTATTTTCCCTAAAATAAGTTACTTAGTACTTATTAATATAAGATCAATTAGTGTAAAAATATTGGTGCTACGTTTAGAGTTCAACCATATTTTATGTAAGAATATTTCTGGAATATTAATATTTTATATCAAAGTGGGTGAAAATATTTTTTTGTTCACATGAATACCAACACATAAGCTATTATTGTTTGCTCCTTGCAACAGTTATACGAAGGATTATATATAGGATTTGATGCGGATGTAGACGTCGAGTCTGCAGCTGAAATAACCAACTGGCTACCTGAAGGACTTCAACAAGTCCTTCCGTCTCAAGTAAAAGCAAACCTAACAAAGATAGGACTGGCTGGCCATAGTCGTGGAGGAAAAGCCGCATTTGCCCTTGTTCTAAATCGACTTAACACGAAGTTAAATTTGAAATTTTCTGCATTGATTGGAATCGATCCTGTTGATGGATTGGACAAATGGAAGCAAACTCAACCAAAGGTGCTCACTTATGTTCCACATTCGTTTGATCTTGAAATGCCAGTGATGGTTATTGGTTCAGGTCTTGGTGAATTCCCGATAATACCGATCTGGCCGTTCAGACCTTGCGCACCAGAAGGGGTAAACCATAAGAACTTTTACAATGAATGTCGTAAACCCGCTTGTTATTTTGTTGTGAAAGATTATGGGCATCTTGACGTGCTTGATACCAAGACGACAGGGCCGACAGGCGTCGCTACTTATTGTATGTGTAAGAGTGGGAAGACTAGGAATCCTATGAGGATATTTGTTGGAGGGGCTGTGGTTACTTTCTTGAAAGCTTCTTTTGATGGAGATTTTAGTTATTTAATGGCTATAAAAGATGATGAAAATTCACCTGTTTCGCTCCAGACGGTTGACTACATGCTTTGAAAGATGATGAAAGCATTTTTATTGAAAGCTTGTTTTTTTTTTTTTTTTTTTTTTACACTGAAACTCTTTCTAGATTTTTTTTGTTGAAGATATAAGCTAAGACTTATAATGTATGTAATGGTTCTTGATTGATGGCAATTACAAGTTGGTGTTGTAGCAACCATTTTTGTTGGTTCATAAGCTATATTGCACTACAAGAAAAAATCGATTTGGCTATGGATAACATATGCCCCCTTTTGTGTTCCATCTCCACCTATTATATAAACCTAAAATACACAAAAACATCAAGGTTATATCATATATCATATATATATATATATATATATATATATATATATATATATATATATATATATATATATATATATATATATATATATATATATATATATATATATATATATATATATATATATATATATATATCACAAAACTAGTAAAATTACTTGTTATTTGTTGTTTTACAATAACCTGATTAATTATGGGATCTTCAATGCTATTGACTATCTTTTTGTTATCATAGGCACCTCGTGATGTCCCGGTTATGGTGTCACTTTGTTTATGAATGTAATTAGCAACTTTAGGTGTTAATGGTGTTCTATTTGAGGAGTAAAATCCTTTGTATCCACTCTGCATATGAATTAAAGTAGTATAAAATTAAGATCACACTAAAAAAAATATACCTTGACATGTAATGTGATGCAAGATCCTTAAGGAATAAACTTCTCAAGATCAGTCTCCTCTTAGATAATATAAGAGCTATAATTCACTTCTCCTTCCCAAACATATTTTCTTATCAGAGTTTGGAGTTCTTGTTGACAACGTCACATGTTATTATTATATAAAACAACCAGGACAAAAATGATTAAAAAACTCCATAAATAATTCATGGTATTTTATAAAAAAAAAAAAAAAAGTATCAAACGGTTGAAAGACAACACACCTTATCAACAACTTGGAAGGCATAATAAAATCTCACACCAAATTGACTAATCAAATTGTTGTCTAAACCATTATCTTTGCTCTTCTGTCAAATACAACGGTTAGTGCAAGTATATTATTTATAATTCTCATAATAAAATATTTATATATGTTAATAAAAATATCTAATATATGGAAATTAGCAATTTTTCATTTAAACTTTCAATTAAGATTCTTAGCTTTTGGTATGGCTATTATTCTATTCTCTTTATCATTTTAATGTGTATATCATTTTATAAGCATCCTCCAAAAGCTATTGATCAGTAACAGTGAGTAATCGAAGGTTGTCCAAGGCATTACTTGGGTTGGCCTATGAGTATTACAAGGCATTGTTTGTAGGTTGTAACATGTAAGTTCTTTATGATTAAGAATTTAGGTCTTCCTTCCTTCAGGCTTCAACTATATCTCCAATGAGTTTTCTTACAAACTAACATATACATCAACATTTCATCCTAATATGTCCAACTGAAAGACAATTGAGTTAAACAAGGTGCTACAAGTAACATTACTTCAATCAATAAAACACGGAAAGTAGCATGACAATGCTACACAAAAGGTCATATTAAGGAAATATGATTAATAAAACTCGTTATGAATAATAATATAAGATCTATTTTCTAATTTCTAAAGATATATTGTATTTTTGTAATATAGTGTTCTTCATAACTTGGAAGAGGCTACATACAAATTATTTTATTGCAAATCTACAAATTCAAAATTTTATTACAAATCTACAATTGTAGTGTGTAAATAATATGTTGTATGTTAATGTGATTAATAAAAGTTTTGACAAAAATGCAAAAATGATCTCTTTGGTATGTATTTTTTTAGAAAAAATGTCAAAACCACAATATATTTGGATTGTTGATCCTTTCACAATATATTTGGATTGTTGGTCCTTTTAACTATGTTTGTATATGGAAAAAGTGATATGACCTAACATCTATTAGCTTGGTGTTATTAAACCCCATCATATCCCCCCCTCCCCATTTGATGGCAAATTCATCTTTTCGCATATTAGGGAACATTTTTGCAAAGAATATATATATATATATATATATATATATATATATATATATATATATATATATATATACTTACCCGCGCCAAGCGCCAGGTGTGAAGAGTTTTTTTTTTTTTTTTTTTTTTTTCAAAAATAAGCTTCTAGAAGTAATTCTTTTTTTTGCATAAATAGTTGCTACATCCACCACCCACCAAAAAATAAATTCGAAGCAAAACTCAAGAAATCTAAACCATGAATCATAACCTGCAACATCGCTTGTATGAGGAACCAAAAGAATTCACTAATATTTTATGACAATTAATAACCACAAAAACCAAGATGGAGTACATTGGATTAATATATTCTAACCAAGCTTCCTAATATGAGTTTTCAAATGTAGTGATTTTCATACTTCATCTTTAAATCCCAAGCATCAGCTAAGCTAAAAGAAAGACAACAAGTCATTTGATATTGACCATTTTAAAACCTGAAAGATATATCTAGTTAAACATAAGAACCCACTCAGCAAGATTTATATTACAAATAAAGGGAAAAATACATGGAAATGTACGGTGTTCTCATAGATTACATTAGTTATTAATATTAAATTGAACATTTGCTTTTAGCTAACGATGATTATAAGTAATAAATTTTAACATTGGTTAATTACTAATAAATGACATAAACTATTTAATATATTTCGGCCAAGCTTCTTCTAATATTTCCAAGTAACATAAGCATTTGTGTTATAAGCTTGGATCGTAAGTAAACCAAAAGAAAGCAAATAAAAATATAGTAATGCGACTGTTCATATGAACAAAATCAAGCATATAGTTCAAACACAAAAATCTAATGAATTCTTTAGTTTCTTGAAGCAGCATAAACACATATTTTGACTTTCTTTCTTCATTCCCTAAAGACTATGCATCATTCTACAGTAGTAATGTAGAACTTGACTATGTATGACTAAGTAACTGAAGAATTTAGATTTATAGCCATCTTTTAATCAAAAAACCAATTAAACATGAAAATTGCATTTTGTATAATTCATTGATTTTTTGTTTATTCTTGTTACTTAATAGTAAGATAAAAATGAACTTAAAGAAATTACAAATATAACTGAGTAAACAACCTGTTTGGCCCATTTTGGTCCAAAAAAGATATATTTTTTTTTTCATTTTGATACATATGCAAAGGTTCATTGCAATTTTGGTCCCTCTCACTCTAACCTTGAGTTTAAATACCTTAAACATCTGTTTGCAAGGCAAATGTATAGGCTAAACATAATTAAACTCACGGTGTGGGTGAGAGGGGCGGAAACTGAAATGAGAAAAAAAATCATTTTGGATCAAAACTGAAAGGAAATTACTAAGTATTGGGACAAAAACTATAGTTTACTCATATATTTTAAAGCCATGTTGAAACAGAAGTTACTTGTGGGAATTGTTATTCCATAAGCTTCACCTAAGCAAATCCTTGACCATAAAAGATTATCAATATTAGCTGGTAAAAAAAATAAGAATGTACCAGGGGTAGTGGAAGCACTTTGACCCACCATTTTCATTTTTTGAATACAAACCATGAATTAGGCAGTAGCCACACATCACTATCAACTTGAACATCATGCAGCTGCTGCTATGTGCTATATTTAATCAGTAAATGTGTGTCCAAAGGAGGATTTTTGATGCATTGTGTATCAAACGATTTGTAGGAACTTTATTATATTCAATCATTAACTTGTTGTTATATTGAATCACATTTTCAGTGATGCCATAATAATTTTCTGTAAATTATTTTAAAACCATATGACAATGCAAATAAGTTTAAAATAATCATTAAAAAAAGTTTTCATATGCTCAACCAGCTCCCCTGCCTCTGCCTTGTAACCCTGAACAACAAAAAAGACTATTACAATAATCTGGGTTTTGGCAAAAAAAAAAAAAGTCAATCGAAATCCCACAACAAAGCTACCAGGTGCCTTGAAATCTGAAACTTCAGATAACTGATTTTGGACACTCATACAAACCAACTCAATTAAGGAAAATTTCACCAGTAACAATAAAAAATTGTTTCTAAATGTACCTGTTGGAAGGTAGGTAATGAAGCAATATTTGGTCCTCCAATCTAGACACTGTACTTTCTCTCTTGGTGTGCAAACATCTTTATGTTCAACAACTAGGAGCAGTACTAATGATTTCCAAGAACCAATTACCACATCTGCAAGATAAGTATGATGTCGAATAAGAAAAATGAACTTGTAAACCTTCATAAAGCCATATGCATCAGATTAGAATAAAATATTCAATAAAAAACATAAAATAGGGTCTTTATGTACAATTAAGAGGCAAAAAGAAAAAGGAAACACAAACCTGATCCTTTTCTTCTCTAAACTGCGGTTTAGGGCTTCTTTATGAAGATTGGTGATGCTTTCATTGCTAGAGAGTGGTGGCTTTATACGATGGTAAGTTGAGTGGTGAAGGTCATGAGTTCCTTCATTCTCAACGGATGTAGGGATATAAATAGAAAATAGAAAAGATACCAACTTTTCGGAGAACGCGATCGGTAACCGGGGAGTGGCCTTTGGGATTTGTTGCTCGAATGAACCAGATCAGATCTGAAACATCATCAATAAGAGCACGAGGGGCTGAGAAGATCCAATATATATCAAGGTTTGAAGCAACAATGACGCAATGGTGGTAATCAATGGTTGTAAACGGTGGAGTTGTACGCTTTCTTTGAGAGAGAGAGAGAGATAAAGATTGAGTGGTGGTGGTGGTTTTTAAAGAAATCTGACGGTGATATGGTGGCTTTTGGGTGATGTTAGAGTTTCAGACAATGGTGAGGGTTGTAATTGAAAATATAATGATAGCAATTGTAAAGGGTTAGGGTTTAGATGAGGGAGAGCTTGATTGGTGCTTGATGGCGAAAATATGAATGCATAGATACAGTTGCAATAATGTACATTAATTACTTTCCACAAACAATATTTCAGGGATATATACAAGAAGCTAGGTGAACCAAAGGAGTTAATTTTATAATTAAGGAATTTTGACCGATTCACTATGTGGTTCAAATTGATTCAGATGACCATAGATCCTGTAACGCATTAAATAGTTGTACACATTGCATATTGCATTTTGTCATGTACCTCTTAAAATTCAGCAAAACATGCTAAATGCTTATATATATATATATATATATATATATATATATATATATATAAAAGTTTAGTCTCTATGGAAAACAAAAAAACACTAAAAATCATAAAAATGTATAAAAAAAATACTTAGAGATCATAAAACTTTTTTTTTTTTAATTTTTTTTAAGAAAAAGCGCATGTTTTAAAATAAATTCACTGATTTTTTTTAAATTTGAATTTTTTATTTTTTTCAACTAATTTATTAAAAAACGTGAGATTTTTTTATAAAAAAATTTTAAAAAAAGTTTTGTAGTCTCTAAGTATTTTTCTGATTTTTAAGGTTTTTTTGTTTTCCAAATAACCCTTCCCTATATATATATATATATATATATATATATATATATATATAATGTTATCATTAAATCTAGTTATTATGGTAAGATTATAGATTGTTGATGGATCGATTTATAGAATATTTACTTACCTTGTGGGTAAACACCACCGCCCATAGCACTAAATCATGAGTGGGATAGTTTGCCTCATAAAACTTCAACTGCCTTGAAGCATGAGCTATCACATGGCCCCCCTGCATAAAAACTGCACCCATACCTGATATCGATGCATCATAGTATACCACAAAGTCATCCACCCCCTCTGCGAGGGTCAAGATCAGGGCCTTGCATAACTTCTACCTCAAAGTCTCGAACGTTGCCTACTGCTTAGGTCCCCAACGGAAAATAGGAGACTTCTTCATCAACCTGGTCAATGGAACTGCAATCCTAGAGAAATTATCAACAAACCTCTGATAATACCCAGTTAAACCAAGGAGGTTGCGAATCTCGGATGGAGACCTCATAACCTCCTATTGCATCACGACCTCGATCGTGGCCGGATCAACCAATATGTCATTCTGATTAACAAGGTGCCCCAGAATTTGCACCTCGCGCAACCAAAAATCACACTTGGAGAATTTAGCATATAGCCTCTCCCTCCTTAGAGTATTTTGAAACTCTTGCAAATGATCCTCATGCTGCTCATTAGTCTTAGAATAGACCAAGATATCATCAATAAACACAATGTCTAAGTGATCCAGGATCAGTCTGCAAACTCGGTTCATGAGATCCATGAATGTTGATGGTGTAGTGGTGAGACCGGAATACATTACCATGAACTTGTAATGACCATAAT